GTCCATCCGTTTGGCTCCTTTAAAATATGAATTTCTTGCATTTCTTAAGGTTTGTTTACTTCATTGGGCTGATTTCACTTTCACTGTATRTTTGGATAACTGAACGGAAGGGTTTTGATGATAAAATCGCACAGTTACCGCTGTATTTGAGAAAAAAATATGAAGTCTGGAAGTGGACTAATGAAGAAATCAATGAAGGTCCGCCGACAGACTGCCGCCATCTTGAATCATGAAGGAATTATAGGATGTCCAGGATGTCCAGGAAGCTGGACACGCATAATATATATGTACTAAAATTCCGAATTTCGATAATTTTGACCTTTAAAGTTTAAAATTGTGAAGTTGTCCTTCAGTAGCATGTTTTGTGTAAGATAACATACAAGTAGACCATACGRTACTGTGATAGTTCATTAGTCCACTATCACAGCAGCGTATGGTCTACTTGTAGTTATCTTTAAAGTTTAGTTTTATCTTCTGAAACTTCTAAAATGTGTTGTTGTTTTTTTCGATTTCTCGCATATATGATAATAAAATCGATTATTATAGCATTCTCATTAAATTCCATTTTGTTTACAGGGCCTCGGCATCTCATAATTTCTTACTGAATCGACACAAAAAGCAATATTCAAGTTCTTTTATTGAATTATTAAAGACATTTAATAGTTATGAGATTTGTGAACGATACCATAAAAGATCAATTTACTGAACGAAGAAAATAATAAATAAACTAATGAATCGAGGACAAAATGTACAATATACTTATCAATCTTTATATTGCCTGGACAATAAATACAGCCATTACCTAGCCATCACAGGGCGGGCAAAATCATTAAATTGCAACTTTAAGTTTAGATCCTTTAAGATACCATTATCGCGAAACTTAACAAAAGTAGGGGGATATGTTTGGTCTAATTGCTTGTTTAAACGCTATCATTATTCATATATATTGACGCTTCTCAGAAGACAGAACATGGAAAATTTCTGGTTRGCTTATCGACCGATGCTGCTTTCAATAATCTTCGAACATAGATTTATCGTCAAAAAATGCTCTTTCAAGGCTCGTTTACCCGTTATGACGTAAAGCAAAACGGTATTGCCTGTGCTTGTCGATCCCAAACAGGTGCGTTCCTTGAAGCCTTTTGTTGGAAGGAAAATTGGAAGCCCATCCAATGCTTCTGATTGGACGATGAATTGACAYCATCAATCAAACTTGGAGTTCACGTAATTAATGAAAAAAATTGCACGAGCGATCTTTTATTTTTATTTTTTTGCTTTTCTTAAATAAAAACAACGATAAGTTCTATCTATGCAAACGCCGCCATCTTTTTCAAAATTATGATTAAAATTCTTCATWATTCTAGAGGCAAATTTTTGAGTAAATTTAATTAATAAAGCATTGATATTGATCTTGACGTTGTCATGCATACAAGAAAAAGTTTACCGCAATGATGGCTCGTTTTAATTAAACGAGTGAACAAAAAGAATTTGGGGCAAAGTGGCTGCACTAGTTACCTAACTAACCCACGGTGTTTCTTGCGCCATATTTTGATTCTAAGTTCATCAGTGATTTGACATCACTAGAACAAACCCTTAACCGAGTTGTCAGCTTATGAAACATTACATACTTAAAAAAAAGTTAAGATTTCTCAACGACGCAAACACTGGATGGCTCAAGACCTCCTACCCTCCCACATACACTTTAATTTTTCKCAGAATACTCAATATTCATTGGCTTTTTTCTTATGACAAAGAAAGGTAAAGAGACATTGGACGTATTCTGTGACCAGGAAAAGAGCATAGCGTTCAAATTTTCCAGAAACATTTTCGTAAACAACCAAGGAAACCATTTTTGAAAGCAATTACATATTTTTTTGTTTAGATAACGTTTGAAAATTTTACTGATATCCTGTCTTCAGTGATGTGATCAGTGAACATTGTCCGCGAAAATTTACCTGATCATTTATGAAAGAAAGGTCTCGTTTCTATTAAACAATTAAACTTTAATCAAATCAAAACTCATTTAAAAATTAATTATGTTTTCTAAGAAAATMAATTGTGCTGTGCACGAAATAAGCATTATTGTGAACTACGATTAATTTAAAGAACTATTAACCCCAGTAATTAAAGTAAATATCAATGACGATCGGCAAAGGACGTAAAAAACCCTTGTTTAGCTGAGTTACCTTTACATTCGGATGTCACATTTGAGTTRAATAAGTTTTTTTYTTTSGTYATTATTTGTCGGTTTTTGCWTTAAGYTGYTCAAAGGTACGTTTATAAAGTTCGAATTAAAGCTCAGTGTAGGTATATAGTGATAAGTCTTTTATCCTGCCGACCGTTTTATCAAAGCTCTTCTTGTCCTGTTATATTGCCAATGTCTTGATGTACGTGTTCATTAAGAACATCTACAACTCTAGCGTAAATACCATATCCGGCCAAGTGTAATGCCTCCCTTATAAACAGCCATCCTCTGAATTTAACGCCACTCTTCACTCCATCGCCGACATACCAATATTATCCTCAGAAAAGGTGAGGCTTTTTGGTTAGTTTTCCATTTACCTTTGTTTTTAACTTAATCTTATTTCTCACATTTTTCAAGATTGTTTGATTTCCTCCTGAATTTTAGTTTTCTGTCCCAGCTTGTTTCAAACTCTTCACTGTTTTTGCGTCGTGTTTTCTGACAAGTTTATTAGTTAATCCTCTGRCACCATATTACTCATTTTTGCTATGGTTTCGATAAACTTTACCTTCACCAGTCATCTGAAACTAGTTCGCATTAACTCTTAAGACATTTTTCCAAGCGTTTCAAAWGTTCATTTGATTCCACCGAARCTCAGTKTGTTYTAGTCTGTTGTCTCTGTTATTTGCTCGYCAGTTTTCGTCTAAGTCTCGAAATTTAGATCTCAAATATTGAGTTTTGGACTTCTACAATTTTCAACGCACAGCTTACTTCTGATCCTTAAATTGATCCTTGTTGTTCTTGTTCTTGTTGTTTTTGCTTTCCAATTCGTTTGGTTGTGTATTTTTTGTTTTCTTCTTTCCTAATTGTATTTTTGTCACCTTTATTTGAATGGGGTCTTGTTATGCATCCTTTTATTTCCTTTTTTATTACCTATAGTTTTGGTCTTATTGTACTTGTGTTCTTTTCGCTTCTCAATTCTCAGAAGGTTTTCAATGGTTTTGTGTTTTGTTAACGGTTCTCCGACTGTCCCTTGATGCTGTTTATAACTACTTCACTGATTTTTTTTCAATTTGCAGGATTCTGCCAAGTAAAGAAATCCAAAATGGCAATGAAAATGTTATGTCTTACCCTGATGTTAGTCGGAGCGTTAGTGCTTTCTGTGGAGTGCAGTTTAGAAAACTCAGGTAAATACATTTCTTTCTACCTTTTTTCCTTTCTTTCTTCTTTCATTAATCCATTGATTTGTTTATTTCTTGTTTTTTTTATACAGAATATCAAGATATGGATGCTAAAGGTAAGATATTCAGCAAACGAGGATGACATAAATGAATGCGTCAATCAATCAACCAATCAATCAATCAGTCAATCAACCAACCAATCAATCAATCAGTCAATCAACAAATAAGCCAATCAATCAATCGATCAGCAATCGTGCAATCAATCAATCAACCAACCAACCAACCAATCAGTCAATCAACAAATAAGCCAATCAATCAATCGATCAGCAATTGTGCAATCAATCAATCAACCAACCAAACAACCAATCAGTCAGTCAACAAACAAGCCAATCAATAAATCTTATTTCTTTTCAGCCGATTCATATCGACCAAGACCAGGAAAACGAGCTCGTAAGTATCACGTAACCTAACTTAAACCCCACCAMGGTCCTGATATATTACCCAATTATCATACTACAAACCCACCTTATAACGTAAACAGCCTTCTTAATAGTTCTCACCCACCTACCTACATATCTAACAACTACCCACCACCTAACMTAACACCCACCATAGCCTAACACCCACCAACCTACCAATATAAACCGACCTATAACGACATAACTAGCTACCCACCCACCTACCAATCTACACTCTTAACAATTTAAAACTCACAGATCAAAAAGTTTAACTAACGTGGTTTTTGCTTCCTTCAACAGATTTCGAATATAAAGGTAGGTTCTTGTGATAGTATTGTGATATCAAAAAAGGTTTCTAAAATTCATTTTCGTTTTCTTGTTCAGATTCACCACCTGTATTCTCGATGTTCAGACCAGGAAGAAAACGGTAGGAATATGACATTGAATTGCAATAAATACCAAAAAATACCAGAAAAAAGATGGTTTCAAAATGTATAGTCACGCTTTAGGTAGAGAACGCTAGTGCTAGCATATTTGGTGAACAAAGCATTATAAAAATGACGAGCCTACGAAAATTGGGAATGGTTTATCAAAAATCAAAAAAAAAAAATCACGCTCGTGTAGCACGCACAGAACCATCTACTCTTCTCTCGTGTATTCTTAGCTCGAAATCTTACCTTGTAAGTTGACCTATAGTTATAAAGTTCGTAGAAGACTTCATTAGGTGTAATCTAAAATATTTGAATCGTCTTCAAGCGTAATACTTCATGAATGGAATGGCATTGCGAGAGAGAGACGACTGGGGACGAGTCAGAGCTTTCACTACAATAACGTTTATTTTTTTCTTTTTCAGCTTTATGGAAAACAAATTGTAAATCACTTGATGGAGGGACAATTATCCACGAATTATTACAATAGAGATCACCTCTGTTAACTAATGTTATAGCTGACTTGATTTTGAATCATGTTATTATAGTTTGAAATTCAAAAATAAATAAAGGAAAAGCTTGAAATTCCTCTCACTGTATTGATTTTGCATTGAATAGGAAAATAAATACTTAGAGATATCAGGGAGGATTTGAAGGGGTGGCGGAGAAGAGGCTGCGGCCGTCTTGAGACCCTCCACTTTTTGTGAAAATGAGATTGATAGTGCACTTTGCTACATCAGCGTTGGTGTTTAATAAAATAAAACCGAGCTTTCGACCTATGCGGTCATCTTCAGGTTTACAATGAATCTCGTTTACAAATAKCAGAAAAACTTGACCATCAAAACAATTAAGAGCGCGTGCATAAACACCAAATGCAACGAAGTACACTATGAAGTTAAATTCAATCTACCAAACATCTTTTTAAAATGAGATTGATATGTTGTTAGCCTTTGGCCGCTTCTCTTCAATTCCCTTTCTTCTATATCCATCTATTCAGCTCTCCTATTCTSCTGTCTTCTCTCCCTTCTTTTCCCCTCCTTTCATTCATATTCCTATTCCCTAGGATCCTTTAGGATAAGTGCAAGATTGCGCCCCCGCAGTCCATTGCTAACCAAAGGCGTCGAAAAATACGCTCGCTTAGCTTTGCACTCTGACATTACTTGTTTTCCTAGAATCATCTTTTCAAATGAGTCTTCACAACCTCGTCCCAGGGTCTCTAGGCTCGAGGCCTTTTTTGTGACGAAAGGCCTTATGGGGCCTCTCGTCACTAAGTCACTGTGTTGAGTTACCGAACCGTTACCATCCATTTGTAGCAGGCGTTCCTTGCGAGTTCTTGACATGTTCTTAAACATAAAACTTAAAAGTTGAAAAGGGAAAATCTCTAGAGAAACAAAAACGAAGTAACAACAGCAAAGAAAATGAGAAAGGAAGAGTAGAAAGAATAAAAGAAAACAAGAAACAAACGAAAAAGAAACAATAAACAAGCGAAAAAAAGAGAAATTCCAGAAGCAGGACTCGAACTCAGAACTTCACTTCAGGAGAAGATGTACCCCCCCTGATTACATAAAAAATAATGAAAATAAAAAGCTAAAAAGATGGGACGATTCCCCCGAGACATTCTATGAAGCTGAGGCGTCGAATCGGCTTACGTTACGGTTAGAGATTTCGGCTCTTCCACGTTATCCCGAGTGAACATAAAACTTAGTCTTAACCAAAAGGCCAGGGAGTGAGGGGGTAGCCGCCCACTAGAGCATACCTTTAGCTACCCTCTTAGACCATCGTACTATGAAGACACTTATAGATATGCAATATCTAATTGGGGTAGTCTATTCGGTGAAGTTCTATGCTAATATATGACGTCACCAAAATCCTTAGGGAGCAGCGAGCCAATCAGAGCTAAGCTCGGGAATTAGCAAACGATACAGGCTTTGCATAATCATTCTTCAGTGGATTTATTATTTAAGGGGGGTGGGGATGGGTGCTGAGTGCTGGTTTGCGGCCGAATTCCAATGTTCGATGTAATGTGACGGCTTTCACCGGGCTGTTCCTCTGTTATCGTTTATTGTTTTCCAAATTATCAGATGAAAATTAGGTGTGCAGTTCTTATATCAGACAGACATTATTAGTATTCGGATAAACACCACGGCACAAATCTCATTAATCCTCGTTTGTGAGGGGCAGGCTGTATTGGTAAATAATCTCTTGAAATTCTTAACGTAAGTGGTTTATAGAAACCAGGCAGATATTTGCTGGAATTCAACGGAACACAATTAAAGACCTCTAGAACGTACATGTACATTTTCGTTCTTGATGATATAAAAGTTTACACATTATTGAATATAGATATAGTGAATGTTAACAATTGAAGAGGATGAATGATAATCCGTATAAAATTGATAAAGAAATCAAGGAATACAGGTAGCAAGCTTTCGGTTTTATTGCAAAACTGTAATCAGGCGAATTATAGTAATTTTAAAACATGGATGTAAAAATACAGGTTTCGATAATAAAAACTTTTCTTAAATTTTATTGAAGAAAATTAACGTTTGAGAATTTTTCATGAGATACAGAAAGATGTATTCGACTACAGCTAAATTAAATCTCTAAGGATCGCTCCATGTCGTGGATAATTCCCAATCTTTCAGACGGATATGTTTGTTAGGCAGGGAAACAGGACGCCCCGGGTCAGGGAATGGTCAACCATCACAATAGGTTTCTTGGCCCCTGGGAATCGCCGCCTGTTGTGTATTCATAGGCAACGTAATGGTTGATCGCCAAGTGATGCTTCCAGTTCCTTGCAGCGTATACAGATAATTCAGAAAACGTTGTATACTGGAGATAGTGTATTCGAAGTTAACTAAATCTATTAATGGCCTGAGTCACATGCAGTCCTCGACTGCTATTTTTTTCCGAAATGGCGTCCGCTATTTTGCGAGTAGGCCTTGATAACCTAGAAAAAAATCTCTCAAAAGCTGCTATCATGTTCTAAATCCATTATTGTAAGGAATAAATTTATTTATTTATTTATTTATTTGAAAGGGCATGAAAAAAGTGCGAGGACTTTATCTCCCATCATGCTTTGATGTATAAAATGGCGTCACATCGCGTATTGGGCTTCCTGTGCATCTTAATTTCAAGATGGCGGCCTTACCACAGAAAAAGTACTATCGTCAAAGAGCGCATTCTAACCCGATGGCTGATCATACCTTTGACTAGTAAGTTTTCATAATTATAGGAATAGGATAAGAGTGTATTTGTTCTGATGATTTGCTAAAAACGTGTGGATTTTACTCCCAAATCTGGTTAAGTTGAGCTTAATAAACTTGAGCTCTTCTTGACCGGAGAAATAAACAAATTTGTCGCTGAAAATATTAAGGCTTCATGTGGGGATTCCAACTCTACAGAGTTTTAAAAAGGCTGTCATGTCATTAAACTCTTGGTTCTTAAACATTTCAACCGGAAAGAATTCAAAAACATTTTCCGTAAACACGTGAATCAATATTAAACCCTGAAATACAAAGGAAGCCCAACAATCAAGAGTACCTGCTCATCCACACCAGTGTTTAATAGTATCATATTCCAATCATATAAAACAGTAGCGTAGTAATTATTKCACAGTCCAACTAAAATACTCTTAATTTAATGTTATAGTCCAGTATGTCCGGATGATATGGACTGGTCGTCACACTATCCTGAGTTACTGTCAACTGAGGCTTCAAATACAGCAAATAATAACGACAGACCAAGAGTAGAGTTTGCTGACATTGGGTGTGGCTATGGAGGATTATTAGGTAATGAATTAACAAGATAATAATGGTATATCTGTCTTTTTCATCATGTTTTATTGATGTTTCATTGCAGTTCAACTCTCTCCTTTGTTTCCTAAGACCCTCATGCTTGGCCTTGAA